GATCTCAATTTTTGTACCAGTCTTTTTGCGCCCCAAATATTACTATTATACATGATTTCGATCTAAATTTTATTAACTTACTTCTTCGTTGATAACCAAAACCGTGCTTGAAGAGGAGTTTGAAACAATTTCGGGGACTTGAGAAAAGGGCAACCAATTAGGTAATTTAATTACCAAAATTTTGTAAGAATTTCCCTTCATCATTTAATATTTTCTTTTACAAAATTTCAGTAAGCATGCAAATTAAGGACTACGCCATGCCATTGCCACATATTTCATTGACGGATGAGAGAGGAGGACCTCAATCGAAAAGTTTGCCATTATATGTGAATAAGCTAGCAATCGACACCTTTGCTGTGCCTTTTATACCCCTTGAAGGATGCTTTCATCTTGAAGATTGGACTAGCAAGTGGACTAAAGAAGTTGTAGCACCATCAACTTTCTCCACAACGTTGAGGGAAGAAGACATGGTCGTATAAAACTCGTCACTTCATAACGGAGATCCAGAAATAGCCAAAATCATGCTTCCGTTCGTGGGATTTAATATTAACAAAACTACAAGGAAGATTCCTTTGTTCTTCTTTGGCGAGGCGTGCTTCACTTCTCATTATTAGGAATGGGTCGAGAACATCCTTAGAAGGCATAAAGAGGTGCTCATACGTGCCGACATATTCGAAGGTGTCTATGCATCGAGATTCTCCTACAACCATTACGAAAATGTCTTGCGTGCTTTCTTCAAATATTGGTGTCCCTCGACAAATCAAATATTGGTGTCCCTCGACAAATGCACTCCATACGCCTATTGGGGAGTTGTCCATCACACTTTGGGACCTTTATCGACTTGGTGGCTTTTCAATCGATGGTTCGTTCTTTGATGAAGTTGTTCTTTCAGTGCGGGAACTTCTCACTTGTGACAAAGAAGGGAAGCCACTTCTCCCTGAGAGTTGTAGGCATCTCTTCTCCGTTTATTACCACCTTTGGACGAATGATGAAGGAGTGTGGATGAAAGACTGGATCCGTTTCTAGTTTAAATAAGAGGCTAGATATAGGGCTCCTTCGAGCAGGGCGAATAGAAGAAATACCACATCTAAACCGAAAATGACCTATAATCCTTCTGGAAGCATAGAGCCTCATGTGTGAGAACCCGTAAAACCCTAATTATTTTCCTAGGGTTTATTTTCCCCTTAATTGCATGTTTTCTGCATTTTCTGGTTTAGAAATATTTTTCTGGTGAATTTTATGAGTAATTATAGTTTTTAGATGGTTTTTCTAATATTGGAGAATTTTTAGAAAATTAAGAATATATATTGGACGTGGGACCCACTAGTGCGAAAAGTTCGAAAAAATTCGGCCAATAAGGTTAAGTTTCGGATACTGTGTAAAATTTATCAGGTGTTAAGAGATAAGTAGAGTGGGTGAAATGATTGATGTGAGAGAGAAAAGAAAGGATAGGATTGCATTTATGAGAGTGACAAGTGTCACATAGTTATTGGATTTGACTTAAGAAATACTATTCACTATTTTGACTTTTGACCCAATTAAGTAAATATCCTAAAAATTCACCAAAATTCACCATTTTTCTTCTCCTTGTGGCCGGCTCTCTTCCTTGCAAAGAAGAAAGAAATTCTTCAACTTTCTAGCTTCCATTTCACTCAATCTTCCACAACTAATCACCTAGATTAGATTCTACTCCATAAAAACCTTTCTTCTAGTGCTAGTAAGTAGTTTGGTGAAGTTTGTTTGAAGAGCTAAGGTGTCCAACATCTCCCTCTCTCTTGATTTCTTGGTAAGTGATGCTTGAACACTCTACTACACCTAATGATGTTTATGTTATGCTTAGAAGTAGCTTGAGTGATGGAATATGCGATTTATTTCTTGATTTGAAGAGTTTTGGTGAAGTTTTCCATTTTATGATGAATTTTCTGGTTTAATATGAATGGGATGTTGTGGCCTTGTATGATGAATGGTAATGGTTTAAAATGACTCTAGTAGGTGTGAATTGTTGATAAATGCAATCAATTTTGGATTTGGATGGAAAAATGGAAAGTTAGGGTTCATAATTCCCTAATTCTGTCCGGTTTTAGATCATAGGGTTATAGGCCGAATTGGACTTTTCTCAAAACATGAAAGTTGTAGGTATTGATGAGTTTGAAGTGTATGCAAAATTTCAGGTCATTTGGATTTGTGTAGAGTGAGTTATGTCGATTTTACTGTTGCTGGTCTGGGTTGCTCAGAATGTGAAAACTGCGCTTGTAATCGTTTGTTTTGACTGGAATTGGTTTGGATTTTGAAGTTGGTGTCTTCTGATGAAATGTAGCTGGATGTCTTAGCTAACATATGCCTTTGGAATTTCGGCATTTGGACCTGTATAGGCTGAGTTATAGTAATTACAGCATAGTGCGATTTGGGAACCTGCAATTACGGTTCTGGATTTGGTATTCTGCATTTTTGACCTAGTTGTGCTAGGATTTGGACTGAGTGGCCTTCTACAATGTTGTAGCCCTGTTTCTTAGCTTCGAAACGGTGGGTCTTACACCCCCATCCGATAACCGTAGTGAATTTGACGCCATTACCGCATTTTAAGGTCAAACACGGTTTTCCTATCAAGGCTTAAGCTAAGGCCATTTTGTAATTTCTGGTTACCAATGATGCTTATTTATGCATATGAAACCCTATTGGGGTTATGTTTAGCATTGTTTTGTGACTCGTTCACGAGTCTTATGGCACTTATTTATGTGTTCTAGGAGGAAACGGTGGTTCACGACGCACTTTGGACCGCAGTGCATGAAACATCATTTTCTTGCTTGGTGAGTATACTACTCACTTAATTGTTACTATGTGGCTTTGCTAAATGTATATGTGATGCCTTGAAGGCTTACTTGGATATTGAAATTGATTAAGGTGAGGGTGTACTTGACCGCCCTCACCCGTTTTGATAGTATCACTAATTGGCTATCGTTTTACTGCATTACTGAACTTGATATATTGGATGGTGAATTCCATTTCATGGAAACTGCTTTGGTGTCGTTTGGACGAATGTCCAACGGCCTTACTGTATTACTGAGCTCAACCCCGTTTGGTAGTCAATTGGATCGAGCCGGCGAGGGCTTGGTCGTGAAAATTGTCATGCCACGGGGACTGTACTGAGGAACCTTGTAGTAATGAGACTCTTGGTTCCGGTATACTCGAGTATTACCAAAATGACTGAATGGAGTGCGGGCCCGATTGGGGTATGTTGGGTGGAAGGAATGGAAGTAAAGAGTTGTCTACGGTTGGTTATTCTTTTAACATTGACGGAGGGTCAATGAGGTTGGATCAAGAATATAAGCGAGGAAATGGGCTCTTGAGAGCCGACCGTATCCTTTCACTGATTTGCTTTACTTCGGAATTGCATACTTGAATTGAATGGTTATGCTTATGTGATCTTAACTGCTATTGTGATAGTTGCTCACTGGGCTTTAGCTCATTCCGTGTCATTTGTTTTCCTTACAGGAAAATGAAACTTTTGGAAAAGATTGTGATAGTTGGATGACAAGTTGAGCTCTTGTACATGTATTTTTGAATAGCTCCTTGAGGGTAAAAACACCCTAAGTGTTTTGATTCCACCAATGTTTGGTGTGTAAATGGCTTTTGGTACCTGTATGAACTAGACGAATATCTTGGTTTGCCGTTTGGCTTGTAAATGTTAATTTTCAATGTATATATATGCTTGGCCGTGGTTTGGATAAATTTCAGCTTCGATTTTCGTTTTTTTTATTTTGTGATTTTGACTTGTTTGCGCGCAATAGTAAGTTCCGGAACGTAATAGATCGACGTAAACTGAACCGTTAGTCCTGGCGAGAGCTGGGCAGGCAGTCCACTAACCCCTTTGGTTCGCCTTAGGGGAAAGTGGGGCTGTCACATCATGACCTTGCTGATACAAAGGATTTCAATATCCCTTTTGACATATTGGATATCCCAGGATCCCTGAGAAAGGAAACCTATATTGCAGCATTCATAGCGTGTTGGATTTGCAAGTTTCTTTTGCCAGACAAAAAGGTCGATCGCATTAGTCTAAGTGTTTTCAAGGTTGCATGCTTAATGGCCACAGGAAAAAAAATTTTGTCTTGCAATTCCTGGCATTGTGAGCATATATCATGGATTGAAGGAGATTGTCTATGCCCCTAATCTTGGAGAATGTGGTGTAACTTTTCCAATCCATTATGTCTATGTTTGGATTGGCCAATACTTTGACGTATATTATGAGAATAATCAAGTGAGTAGCCACCACGCACGCATGACAAGATTTAGTGGTGAGAAAATGACAATATTTTATGGCAAATCAGAAGCTGAGGAAATCTTCAAAGAAGTGAATCCCTTGATACTTTCTAAATTGTGTTGGGCTGAGAATGAAAAAAAAGTATTGATCGACGATGGAACATTATCATCAAGGCTTACGGCTACTTGATCAGTCGATGCTCTTGCCACTCAACTCTACGTAAGGACAATATCTTTATTATTGAAAGATATAATCCTTGTAGATTTAGTAGACAATTCAGCTTCTGTCAAGATATTCCAAATAATTTGAAAGAGATTACTCACACTTATACTTTGGGTGAGCCCATTCAATTATGGAATTCCTCAGTTCGCACGCAGACGTGATCTCAGATGACTATACCTATGTATAGGAAGCATCCATTGATCACAAAAGACTATGATGCCTGGTGGTCAACACGGTCAAATAGCATTTCTTCCTTTAAATCACGGTCAAGATCCCCCAACAGTCATTAAAGAAGGACATGGTTACCTTTGTCAATGAGTCAAAATAGCACAATGGAACCATAGAAACTGAAACGGGTCTTACTGCATCTACCCTGCAGAAGAACAAAATTACTAGCACTCGCTTGGAAGGTATTGCCACGAAAAATAAGCTTTCAAAGAATTCTCAACGGGTCATCAAAGAGACAAATCTAGCAACTCCAATAAAGAAGGCGCCATCCCCTATTGCAAAATTTTTAACCATGACTTCCATGGAAGAAGACGCCGAAATTGTAATATTGGATGATTACGATTCTATCAAGGCTATTGAAAAGGAAGGAGTTCAAGTCCAGGGCACTGGATCTACCCAAGAAGAAATCCATTCATTGGCAAATGGCAGTGGCAGTCAAGACCGTCATTGGAACCGATCAAAGAAGCGGACATCTTCGGACTTGGAGGAGATTTCATTTACATCATCATTAGCTAGAGTGACACAACTTAAGGTAATTATGTGAGGACCCAAAAAAAAATAAAAATATTTTCTTAATTTTTCTTGTTTATTGGCGTATTTAAATATTTATTCACTCATTTTCTCTGGATAATTTATTTCAACCATTTTAAATTCATTTTTATGGAACCATGTCTTATATATACTTTTAAAATGTCTCGTTAACAAATTTAAATTTTTCGAAGGCTCATTTATTAAGTAATAACAAATACACATTTTCGAGATGGTAGTCGATCTGAGAGTGCAATGATTTTGGAGAATTAAGGATGATGAATAGTGGACTAAGAAGAGTTAATTGAGAGATTAAATGTGATTAAGTTAAATAAAACTTTTATTGTGCGCACATCGATAGTTTCTCAAAAGTTGTTCCGCGCGACAAATTGGAGATTTGAGGAATTAATACTAGACTCGTGTGAGGACTCATGTTTTTATTTCTAAAATAGTTATTTTTACAATTATTTACCTTAGTAGTAGTTAAATATATCATCGTTACATGAATTTTTTTTAAAGTTCGCCTTATCATGCGCGAATCAGAAGTTCGCGTATATCGACCTGGAATGGATAAATGGAGATTTAAGAAATTTATACTAGACTACTAAGAGTAAATAATTATAGTATTAAAGGAAGTACATTAGAGGTTTAGTGCACAATTGAAACAAACCCGAGAGAAAAAGGATACGAAACGCGCGCACGTGACACTATTAAGGGTTGACTTTTGAAGGAATCTTAACCACAAAACCTCAAGCTTCTCAAGGAAGCCTCATAACACACCAAACCCTTCTTTTCACTCCTTAGTGCCGGCTGAACAAGAAAGAAAAGAAGGAAGAAGAAAGCTCTTCTCATTTCACTCCAATCTTGCTTCGATCTTGCTCAAATCCTTTACCCAACTCCTAAACTACTTGGAGATTCACTTAAACTAGAAGAAAGACATCATCTCACAGTTTTCTTGGGCCTCTAGTAGTGCAAAAATTTCTGGTTTCTCTCAAGGATTAGGAGGTAATCATCCAATCACTTAATCTTAACTTTAGTGGGTATAATCGTTGCTATGAAGCTTGTAGCTTCATTATAGTTGTTGTTATTTGGATTTAAATGGTTGGAGTGGGCTCTATGAATTCCCACCTTGGATGTATGGACTGATATGATGATAATATGTGTGTTAATGTGTTTGTGGTGAGTGTTAGTGTGTAGATGAGTGTTAAGATTTGAAAAGGAAGAGAGGAAAATCGAAGGAAATTTCACTTGGGCTGCTGACCGAAAATCTGTCCTGTTTTGCCGTGGCTTTAGTTTGAAATTTTGTTGCTCAAATGATTGTGAAACTGATATATATTTGTTATATAGTGTGTGTAGAAAGTTTCTACCAAAAATCATTTGAATTGGTTGAGAAAATTTTGAGTTTTGGCAAGAACAAATCTGGAAAAATGTAGAGAAGTGGTCCATTGGCAGTGTTTTTTTGAACGAACATAACTCTCGGCTCAGATGTCGAAATCAAGTGCCGTTTGTTGCATTTGAAACTAGACATCTGTAGTTTTCTAACGGTGTAAAATGCACCTTCTAATTTGATAAGAGAATATTTAACGTACATTTTGTACAAGTTTGGCATGAACTTTTGGTATGTTTTGAGAAGATTAAAGCCATATTTGAACTCTTTTGGTGATAATTGCTTAAATATTGTTTAAGTGTTCAGAACTTGATAAATGAGTGGATTAATGCGTTAATTTTGTGAAATTGTGAAGGATATTAATGTATGAAATTCATGCACGAGATGAAAGAAATGTAAGGATCGTCCAGAGGATAAAGTACACAAGAAATTAGGAGCAAAAATGAAGAAAAAGGAAAAGAAGTGAAAAATTGGAAAATGACCAGCACGGATCTGAGCTCGGATCCGTGTGAGTAAAGGGCAATCCGAGCCCTCGTCTGTACTTCTGGAGCAGTGTATCTGAGGACAAACGATCCAAGCTCGGATCCATCAGAGAAAATCCTCGGATCGATAAGATCCGAGCACGGATCGATCTTCACCCCTCGGATCCGAGGCTTGGATCTGCCTCTCTGTTCAACAAGTGACACAGCCGTTTTTTCTCACTGTTCACACAACTTTTCAGCTATCTTGAGTGAGTGAATTCGGTGGCACATGCTTCTGCAACAAAAGGGAAGACAAAATGAGTTATTGACAAGTCAAAACAACACTTCTTTTGACTTTCTTTACAAAATTTGAGTTGTTGGTATCATGAAGGAGAAAAAAGGTGTCTTTCTACCACCTTTTATGCAGAGACACAAGGGAAAGTCAGATATCACCATACGTAGGGAGTTTTGCATTTGGTAACACTTTCTCTCTAGCTAGAAGTTCTTGAAGAAGCAATTGGAGACTCATCTTGTACAAGAACATAGCAGAAATTTGAGGGTTTCACCATTAATTGGCTAAGCTTTCTTTTATCTTCATTGTAATTGTACTTTATGATGTTTTGCATTAATAAACTTGTGAGTTTGATTTTTATCTCATTCATGAGTAGCTAATTTTCTTTATCTAGGGAGTAGATGAAACTTATGGCTAAATAATATGAATTAAATGTGATTTACACTTGTTATATCTTGTATTAACTTGTTTATTTGTGCAGTTGTAATTACTTGTTGTTGTTTGATCACCAATAGCATGTCCATAGTTGTTATTAGTCAATTAGAATTAATAGTAACAATGGAAAAACATGAGTAGAGCTTGACTTGTATATTCATGAAAATAGATGTACACTTACGTGGATTTTCCAGCATTTCATGAAGGAAAATAGGGAAAACTATATTGCTCTAGGCCATTTCATCATAAGAATGAGATTTGGCAATATTGAAAATGAATCCTTGGTTAAACAAGAAAAATAACAAGAGGTAAATCTATTCATTTGTGTTGTTTATGCCATAAGTGGAATTTACATCCCTAAGTTCAATCTTTAGTGAAATTTCTCCATTTGCATTTAATATTGATTAAACCAGATTTGTAGACAATAGCATTATAATTTTCTTGCTCAGATTTATTGTAAGTCCAAATAATAGAGAGAAATAAGGGCCTAGTACTTGTTTAATTTGCTCCTCGTGAGATCGACCCGATACATACCCTACATTATGATTTCGGCCTGTATACTTGCAGTCAACGGGTATAAAATCGGATTTAAACTTGAATTGATATAAAAAACCCGTCATATTTTTGGCGCTGTTGTCGGGGAGCGGCAATATTAGGGTCTAATCATCTCTATTAATTTAGATATTTCCATTGTTTTTATTTAAGTTGTTTATAGTTGATTTTAACAATTAAAACTGCAAAAATTTCTCTTGTTTTTATTTGTAGTGTATGCAACCTCTCAATTTCAGGATCGAAAAGTGCAACCTCTCAATTTTGGATGGATGGATCAAGGGAACCAAGTAATCCACCGGGTTTTCAACCAAAACAATCACTTCCGGAGTCCAAACCAGCTTGGAAATTGACAATTGAAAAGCTGGCAAATGTATCAAATGATAAAATTGAAAAGTTAGCCAGTGTCACTACTCAACGATTTGAAAGAATTGAAGGAAGGATGAACCAACTCACCAATATGTATAGGAATGTTGAGCTCCAATTAGGGCAAATAGCAAATGCGGTTAACAATCGCAACCAAGGGGATTTACCTAGCAAGACTAAGATGAACCCAAGGGAGCATGTGAAGGCTATAACCCTCTGTAGTGGTAAGGAAGTAGGTGAGCCACCAGTAGTTGAATGTGAGCGAGAATGTGAAAGAAGAGAAAACAGGCAGTTGAGCGAGTTAGGAGAGGATAGTAAGAAAATTAAAGGGAAAGAATAGGTGGAACAAAATGAGCCACAAATTGGAGATACAACACCAATTCCACCGGTGCCATTCCCTCAAAGATTGAAGCCTTCGAGAAATGACAAAGAATTTGAGAAGTTTGTCAACATTTTCAAATAATTACATATTAATATTCCTTTTGTTGATGCTATTTTGCAGATTCCTTCATACGCAAAGTTTCTCCAGGAGATACTGACTAAGAAAAGGAAGTTAGTAGATAGCGAGACAATTGCATTAACGGAAGAATGTAGTTCCATCATACAAAACAAATTGCCACCAAAGTTGAAAGATCCGGGGAGTTTCACAGTTCCTTGCACTATTGGTAATGTAGAATTCTCTAAAGCACTTTGTGACCTTGGTGCAAGTGTTTCATTGATTCCTTTAACCATGGTTAGACACTTGGGGTTGAAAAAGTTACAGCATACTAACATTTCCTTGCAATTGGCTGACAAGTCTATTAGACATCCAATGGGCATATTGGAGATTGTGCTCATTAAAGTACAGAAATTCATTATTCCTGTTGATTTTGTTGTTTTAGACATGGAGGAAGAAGTCAATGTACCTATTATACTTGGTAGACCATTTCTAGCCACTGCAAGTACAATAATAGATGTTAAACGTGGTAAGTTCAAATTCCAAATTGGTCAAGAGGAAGTGGAATTTGATTTGAGTAAAGTGGAGAAGTATCCCTCTTTTACTGACCATGTTTATTCTGTTGACATATGTGATGAATTGGCATTAGTGATGAGTCAAGTTAATCTTGATGATGATTCTCTGGAACTTTGTCTTAATGGTATAGGTTTACAAGAGGAGCAAGTTGAAGAAATGACTGAATTTTTGCAGGCACAGGTTCCTTACAAAAGGAGAAATGCATATGAGGAGTTAGGGCTGAGCAAAGGGCTACCTCCACCATCATGTGAGCAAGCACCACGGCTTGAGTTTAAGCCACTGTCAAAACGCCTCAAATATGCGTTTCTTGGAGAAAAAGAGACATTGCCAGTAATTATCAATGCAGCACTAGATGAGGAACAACTAGACAAGCTCTTACGTGTTCTTAGAAAGCATTTAAAGGCTATAGGATGGACGATTTCTGATATCATGGGAATTAGTCCAACTATTTGTATGCACTGGATTTTGTTAGAAGAAAATTCTAAGCCGGTGGTTGAAACTCAAAGAAGATTAAATCCAAACATGAAAGAAGTGGTAAGAGTAAAGATTCTTAAATGGCTGGATGCAGGTATAATTTTTTCAATTTCTGGTAGTGTTTGGATTTCTCCTATACATGTAGAGCCAAAGAAAGGGGGGATAACCATAGTACATGGTAAAAATAATGAAATGATTCCCTCTAGAGTTGTGGTTGGGTGGCGAGTCTATATTGATTATAGAAAACTGAATGCAGCTACTAGAAAGGATCATTTACTCTACCTTTTCTTGATCAAATGGTAGAAAGATTGGCTGGTTATGAATTTTATTGTTTCTTGGATGGTTTTTCAGGATACAATCAAATAGTAATTGCACCGGAAGATCAAGAGAAAACCACATTCATTTGTCCTTACGGCACTTTTACATTTCGAAAGATGCTTTTTAGACTGTGCAATGCACCTACTACCTTCCAACGATGCATGATGACAATTTTCTCTGATTTTAATGAGAAAATTACGGAAATCTTCATGGATGATTTTTCTGTATTTGGATCTACTTATGATCATTGTCTTAATAATTTAGATCTAATTTTGCAGAGATGTGAAGAAACAAATCTTGTACTCAATTGGAAAAAATGTCACTTCATGGTTTGTGAGGGTATTGTGCTAGGTCACAAAATTTCTTCAGAAGGTATTGAGGTCGATCAAGCCAAGATAGAAGTTATTGAGAGAATGCCTCCACCTATCAATGTGAAAGGCAATCGTAGCTTTCTTGGATACATGGGATTTTATCGACGGTTTATTAAGGATTTCTCCAAAATTGCTAAACCTTTATGTGAATTACTTGCAAAAGATGTTCCTTTTCACTTTAATGATGAGTGTTTACTTGGTTTTAATAGGTTGAAGAAGGAACTTGTCGCCGCACCTATAATAGTATCACCGGATTGGAGCTTGCCATTCGAATTAATGTGTGATGCAAGTGATTTTGCAGTTGGGGCTGTTCTTGGGCAAAAACATGATAAGCGACTTCATGTCATTTATTATGCAAGTAAAATGTTAAATGAATCCCAAGTCAACTATGCAACAACAGAGAAGGAGTTGCTAGCAGTGATTTTTTCATTGGATAAGTTTAGATCGTACTTAGTAAGATCTAAAGTTTTCATTTATACCGACCATGCAGCACTCAAATATCTTTTAAATAAGAAAGATGCAAAACCTCGACTAATTGATGGATTTTATTATTGCAGGAATTTGATTTGGAGATCAAAGATAAAAAAGGATTCGAGAACTTAGTCGCTGATCATCTTTCTAGACTGGAAAACATACCTCACGAAAACCATTCATCCATTAAAGAAGAATTTCCAGATGAGTTTTTAATGGCAATTTATAAGTCACCATGGTTTGCTGATCTAGTTAACTTTGTAGTTAGTGGAGTGATACCAAGTGATTTGAATTCTCATCAAAGGAAAAAATTCTTAAATGATGCTAAACAGTATTTTTGGAAAGAACCATTCTTTTACAAACATTGTGCAGATAGAATAATTAGAAGATGTATTCCGGAAGAAGAGGTACATAGTATTTTAAGACATTGTCATACCCTTGAAAAGAGAGTTCATTTTAGTACAACTAAAACCGTAGCAAAGATATGGCAATCTGGATTTTATTGGCCTACTATATACCGAGATGCTAGAAATTGGGTTAAAAGTTGTGATCAATGCCAAAGAACCGGTAATATCTCAAGAAAGAATGAAATGCCTTTGACTACATATTTGGAAGTTGAGCTATTTGACGTTTGGGGCATTGATTTTATGAGACCATTTTCTAGCTCATATAATAATAAGTACATCCTTTTAGCAATTGATTATGTCTCTAAATGGGTGGAGGCCATTCCTTCACAAACTAATGATGCTAAAGTTGTGCTTAAGTTCCTTAAACGGAACATATTTTGTAGGTTTGGAGTCCCAAAGGCAATAATAAGCGATGAAGGTAAGCATTTTTGTAATAAAATTATTGACACCTTGCTGCTTAAATATGGATGCAGGCATAAAAAGTCACTCCCCTATCATCCTCAAGCTAATGGCCAAGCGGAGTTGGCCAACTGAGAAATTAAAATCATTTTAGAGAAAACTGTCAACCAATTGAGAAAGGATTGGACAAACAAGCTTGAAGATGCTTTGTGGGCGTATAGAACGGCATTTAAAACGCCGTTGGGAATGTCTCCATATAAGCTTGTTTATGGGAAAATGTGTAATTTACCTGTAGAAATGGAACATAAAGCTTATTGGGCCATTAAAGTTATTAATTTTGATTTTAAATCTGCAGGTGAAAAGAGAATGCTCGAGCTAAGCGAATTGGAGGAATCGCGATTAATCTCATATAAGAATGCCAAAATTTACAAAGAAAAAGTGAAATTTTGGCATGATAAACACATTCTCCCTAAGCATTTTGAAGAAGGGCAAAAGGTGTTATTGTTTAACTCAAGGCTTAAATTATTCCCTAGAAAGCTTAAGTCTCGACGGTCTAGGCCATTTGAAGTGGTTTGTATGTTTCCTTATGGAGCAGTGGAAATAAAAGGAGAAAATGGTGCTCCATTTAAAGTAAATGGTCAAAGATTGAACCCCTTGTCCAGAGAAAAGGTTCCTAAAGGAGTAATTTACTCCTTAGGAAACACAATGGAGAATTAAAGAAACTATAGGAGAGTCGAGTTTAGCGACTCTAAACAAAGCGCTTGTTGGGAGGCAACCAAATAAAATTGCAGTTGTGTGTTTTTATGTGTTTCTTACATTTTGGTGTTATTTGATTGACTAATTATACGTATTTCACGTGCTTGTAGGAGATACCGCTGTTTTAACATCCATCTTGGAGGTGCATTTGAAGAACAAGTGTAAAAAGAGAGGTTTTCTTACCAAATTGTGCTTTAAGTGTTTAGAATTACCATTCATATATATAGTGTGCATTTCAAGTATATTCAAGTGAGTTTTGGTGATAACATGTTTATAAATGCTCATGGACTCATTTGATGTGCATTTAATGCCCAAAAGTGCAAAAATGATCAAAGAACCTCACCCCTCGATTTGCAATGTAGATGTGTTTGATGTGTTTTGAAAGATTGGATATTGTGTTTATGGTATATTACATGTGCATGGGAGGTTGGAATTGATAAAAAGTTTGTCCAAAGTGTGTTTTGGAATTGGACGAAAAAGGGAAAAAGTTTGAAAAAATTGCAGTTTCTGCAATTAGTGCAGAGAAAGACAGATCCGAGCTCGGATCTGACTCAACCCAGAAGGATTCGACCTTGGATCCTTTAAGTTTCAAAGACGAAATTGGGGATCCGACCCCAGATCCTAAATTGTTCAAGAGGATCCGAGGGATCGTCTGTGTTTTTGGTGGGAAGGATCCGAGCCATGATTGGAAAGATCCAAGTTTGGATCGTCCATGCTTGATTAATGCAAAAACATGATCCGAGCTCAGATCCAACAAAATTTAGTTAGATCCGAGGGCTCGATTGAATATCTGGAGTAGCAGATCCGAATCCTGTTTGATCCGAGGGCTGCCAAAACCGATCCGGCCTCGGATCGGTTCGCAATATGAGCAAAAGCGCGGCCTCGGTTCCTTGTTTTTCAACTTTATTCTTCTTCTCTCTCATCGAAACCCTACTTCTCTTTCACCAATCTTCCATTTTGTCCAATAATCATCCAATTTTTCACCAGAAAAACATCTCCCAACCTCTTTTGAGCATAAACCCTCAATTTTCTGAAATCAAAAACATCAATTTGGGGGGTTTCGATTCTCAAAACTAGAATTCGGTCTTCACTGAATTGTTGCTATTTGTGATCGAATTTGGGGTTGTTTCTTCATCATTTTTGCATCCTTATCATCCTCCATCATCACTCCACATATTTGAGGTAACAATTTGCGAATTTCTTTGACATTTTATATTTCCTATTTTTGAATTTTTCTAGTTTTTGGGCATATTTTGATAAATGCTTATTTGTTCAAAATTCTTGTTATAAATGTGCTACATTGTACTAGAATATGTTGCTACAACTATTTTTATGTGTAGTTTCGAGAAAATTGTGGAATTCGTATTACTTGGTAGATTTTCGTTCTCAAAATTTAGCCTAATGCACGTGAACTCTTCAATGAATAAGGAAGCAATGTAATTGACCATTTAATAGTCCCTTTTACTTTGAGATTATATTCTATTGTTGCAATGTGCATAAATTCTCAAGAGATTGGGCTTTTAATGACATTCTAATTGAAATATGATGTTCAAATGTTGAAAATGGAATACTCATGCCATCTGTCGAGAATGTGGATTAGAGTTGTTATTATAAATGTGCATTTGTGTTAGGAATGTTTTAAGTAGTACCTTTGGTTGTTTTTGGGTACATTTTGGCAGGGAGTTTAGCCCTTTTATAAGGGGAAACTCTGCCGAAATTTTCTTAAATTTCTATTTAACATGTGAGAGCAAGTTTGTATTGTTTCTAATGAATATTCATCTTGTTTGTGTATAGGTACTATGGCTCGCATAAGGAGGGCTCGTATTCATACTCCTACACCATCATCAAGTGAAGAACACACACCTTCTTTGCATGAGGAATCGCCAGAGGAGAAATCTCCCTCTCCTCAATCCCCACCTCGTTCTTGCCGGAAGACCGCATCAACTAGCCGCGAAGAGCCGCTTCCAGACTATGATACCATGCAATTCACCTCACTCAAGAATCAACAGTGGTATGAGGCCGGTTTAGACAAGGAGATCATTGTTGAAAAACATTTGGCATCGGAGGTGGATGACCACTATAAGATCTCCACGGCATTCAAGCGACTCAGATGGGAGGATATACTACAATTGCCCAAGCATTACTATCCAACTCTGGTCCGGGAATTCTATGCCAATGTGGAAGACAAACAGAGCCATAGTGGTAACCTCATCGTCTCCTGGGTCTGAGCCAAGCGAATGGCTCTCACTCGGGATAAAGTTGCAAAAATCACCAAATTCAAAGATGAAGGAGTTAATGTTAAATTAACCAAGGAGTTCAAGGCACGCGACCCTTGGCACGTGACCCTTGATTGATATAGTCAAAACAAGGCCAAATTCATCCTTTAAATATGCTCAGAGGGAAGTGTTTATATAAAAAAAATATAATAATAATAATAATATTTTCTACTCCAATGATTCGCTTACTGAGTAACCGGGGGTTGACATTTACAGATGTCGACATTCGCGTAAAAAGGTATTGAAATTAAGAGTATGCTTAGTGTGAGAACCCGTAATTTGCATTTTCTAGGTTTTCGCATTTTCATGGCTTGTTTTCTGCACTTTCTGTATCCGGAAAATTTTCTAGATAAATTTTATGAGTAAATATAATTTTCAGATGATTTTTCTAGTATCAAATAGATTTTGAGAAATTAAGAGTGAATATCGGACGTGGGACCCACTAGTGCGAAAAGTTCGGAAAAATTCAGCCAACTAAATTAAGTTTTGGATACTGGAATTATTTTATCGGGTGTTAAGAGATAAGTAGAGGTTGCAAATTTGGATTGATGTGAGAGGAAACAAAGTGATGGACTTGCATTAAATTAGGTGACAAGTGTCACCATTTGATTGGGCTTACTTTAAGACTTTCTTACCATTGACTTAAATAACCAAAAATGACCCAAAAATCTTCCAAAAATCTTCAAGAAGAGCCGGCCCTCTCAAGCTTTCTTTCTCTCTCTCTTACTCCAAGTACAAGGAAGAAAACACTTCAATCTTGCTCCAAATCATCAAAACTAACCATCCAACCTTGAAATTACTCCATAAAACCTCTTCAATTAGAGTTAGTAAGTGGATTTGTGGAGTTGTTTGGAAAGTTAAGGTGGTCAATAGCTCTCTCTCTCTCTTGTTTTAAAGGTAAGTTGTGAAGAACCACCCCCCCTCCTTTAATTGATGCTTAAATCATGATTAGTGAAAGTAGAAGATGCAAGTTTATGGATTATTTCTTGATTTGTGGTTGAAATGATGAAGTTTTATTATTTTTAGGGATTTTTCTGTTTTAATATGAACATGATGGTGTGGCTATATATGATGATTGGAAATGGTATATAATGATTCTAGAAGGTGGAAAAAGTGGAAGATTGCAAGTAATTTCTGTTTTGGAAGAAATCTGGAAAATTAGGGTTCCTTGGTTCTCCATTCTGTCTGAAATTTTAGGTCCTATTTAGAGGCCGAATTGGCCTTGGCTTAAAACATCAAAGTTGTAGGGAATGACATTTTAGAGGTTCCTACAAAATTTCAGGTTAATTGGAGTAGTGTAGAGTGAGATAAGTCGAAATTACTATTGCTGTTCTGGTTTTACCCGAAATCGAGATTTGCGACTGTAATTGGGGGTTTTGGTCTGAATTGCTTCCGAATTGGTTGTTTAGGCCTTCTGATGAAATTTAGCGCTGTTTCTTAGCTTTTAGCTGGTTTTGGAATTTCTGGATTTGGACTTGTAGAGCCTGAGTTATGATGTTTCCGCTAGAATGCATTTTGGTGAATCTGTTTTACGTTTTTGATGTGGTATCTTGCATTTTTGACCTATTTGCATTCAAAACTGGGTTGAGTGACCTTCTGTGATGTTGTAGCCCTGTCTTTTAGCTTTGAAATGGTGGGTCTTACACCTGCATCCGATAATTCTAGGGCATTTGGTGCCATTACCGTAAAAAGAGGTCAAAAACTGTTTTTTTTTCAAGGCCAAAGCTAATTGCATTTCCGAATTTTCTGGTTTTCTCTAATGTTTGTATATGTTTATGGAACCCTATTGGGGTCATATTTGTCATTGATTTATGATTCGTTATCGAGTCTTATTGTACTTGTTTGCATATTTTAAGGCTTACTCTTATTCCGGTCATTTCCTAGCTAACTTTTGTACTTGTACTACTTTGAGCCTAGTGAACGGCTTTTGGGAAATGAGATGAATTTTGTGTGAGATGTTGGGACTGATTTGAGGAAATAATGAAGCCATGATGGCTGGAAAATAGGTAAACACAAGGGATATGCTGCCGAAATTTTACTTGAAGGCTAGTTGGAATTACTTGTGATTTGAGCAAAGGGCTTTTGGGTTGTTTGCGCCTAGGTCTTCATGTTACCTTTTCGTTTCCAAGAAAATCATGTTTTCCACCCTTGCATTAGTATTTATTTGGCAAGGCGTACGACGTGTAGTCGAGCCTCACTTGTGCATTCCGTTTACTCGATTTTGGATATGAAACCTTCAATTAGTTTACTTTGATTATTTTAGGGTTTCTTGGCGATTAAGGCCAATCTGAAGTGAAAACTTTTGAAGTTGAGCCGGTGAGTGTACCACTCCCCTCCATTGCTGTTTAACTTGATTTCTGCTCTGCAATCTGTTTAATTTGTTTGAGACGAGGGTGTACTTTATCACACTCGTTCTCTTGTCTGTTCATATGCCAATTTACTATGCAAAATTTGAATCTGTTATTTGTATATGTTCGGACGTCGTTTGGAGGTTAGTATCCAACGACCTTTCTGTGACCTATGAGCTCAAATCCTGTGGCTAAGTTATTCGAGTCGGGCCGGCAAGGGCATGGACGATTAGATAAAGAACCACGGTAGTCTGTTTTGGGATCTTTGGGTATTGAGACCCTTGATTCCGGGTATACTCGAGTATTACCATTTTTGTTCGTTTGAGGTGAGCGGGCCCGGTAAAGGGGTGTTTGGTGGACGGAATTCGGTGCGAAGTGGGTCTACGGACGCGTTGGTTCTATATACGTTGACGGAGAGTCAACCGGTTTGGATCAAGTACTGCGCTGGAAATTTGGCTCCTGAGAGCTACCTGTATCCTTCCTATGTGAATCATTAGTTACTTTACTTTACATCTGGCATGTGTATCTGATTTGTTAAATGTGAAATGCCATGATTTCTCTGCTGTATGTTTGGTACCTCATTGAGCGCAAGCTCACCCCTTTCTGTTCCTTTTTGTTTTCCTTACAGGAAAATAAATACTTTTGGACTGGATTTGACAAATGGCTGCCAAATTGAGCTAGTTGAACATATCTTTTTTATAGCTCATGTATTAAAATCCTAAATGTACTTTTGGGAACTGTTTTCCTTTTGATTTGGCAAACCAGACATGTATCCACTTTTGAATACTTTTGTATGCCACTTTGGCTTGTAAATGCTAAGTTTCAAGATGGGAATGTTTGCTTGGTATTTGGTTGGGTTCTGACGGGTCGGTTACTATTCATAGCCGACTTCGATTTTATTTTTTTTATTTTTTATTTTTTACCCGCGTTGGTAAGTTTCGGGATGTATTAGCTCGTTTTATACCGAACCGTTAGTCCTGGCGAGAGCTGGACAGGCGGTCCGCCGAACCCTTTGGTTCGCCTTAGGGTAAGGTGGGGTTGTCACACTTAGCAATTTGAATGAGTGAAATGTTGAGTAACCGGGAATCTTCACCTAAAAGTGTCGATTTTCGCGTAAAAATGCATTGTCACTATTTAAGTAAAATGTAGTATAAATAAATCCCTCTTAGTTATGAAAATTTTGATGGATAAATGATGAGAAAGGCCATAAATTGACTATGTGAATTACTTATTGATGAAATTATGATAGAATGAGAGATTGATTTGAAGTTGTTATAATTAAGGCATAATTATCTTTCTTTAACTTGATATTATGAGTATTTGGTGTAATCTGAGAAATGGCATAATGATTGGTTTCTAGGTTTTGAGGAACTAAATTTGACAAAAGTACGTATATTGTTTTATCTCGTGAATCATTGTAGTAAGTTATGTGTGAAGTTGCTTGAGGACAAGCAATGATTCAAGTGTGGGGGAATTTGATAAGAGAATATTTAACGTACATTTTGTACAAGTTTGGCATGAACTTTTGGTATGTTTTGAGAAGATTAAAACTATATTTGAACTCTTTTGGTGATAATTGCTTAAATATTGTTTAAGTGTTCAAAACTTGATAAATGAGCGGATTAATGCGTTAATTTTATGAAATTGTGAAGGATATTGATGTATGAAATTCATGCACGGGATGAAAGAAATGTAAGGATCATCCAGAGGATAAAGTACACAAGAAATTAGGAGCAAAAATGAAGAAAAAGGAAAAGAAATGAAAAACTGGAAAATGACCAGCACGGATTCGAGCTCGGATCTGTGTGAGTAAAGGGCGATCCGAGCCCTCGTCTGTACTTCTGGAGCAGTGTATCCGAGGACAAACAATCCGAGTTCGGATCCATCAGAGAAAGTCCTTGGATCGATAAGATCCGAGCATGGATCGATCTTCACCCCTCGGATCCGAGGCTCGGATCTGCCTCTCTGTTCAGCAAGTGACACAGCCATTTTTTCTCACTGTTCACACAACTTTTCAGCTATCTTGAGTGAGTGAATTCGGTGGCACATGCTTCTGCAACAAAAGGGAAGACAAAATGAGTTATTGACAAGTCAAAACAACATTTCTTTTGACTTTCTTTACAAAATTTGAGTTGTTGGTATCATGAAGGAGAAAAAAGGTGTCTTTCTACCACCTTTTATGCAGAGACACAAGGGAAAGTCAGATATCACCATACGTAGGGAGTTTTGCAGTTGGTAACACTTTCTCTCTAGCTAGAAGTTCTTGAAGAAGCAATTGGAGACTCATCTTGTACAAGAACATAGCAGAAATTTGAGGGTTTCACCATTAATTGGCTAAGCTTTCTTTTATCTTCCTTGTAATTGTACTTTATGATGTTTTACATTAATAAACTTGTGAGTTTAATTTTTATCTCATTCATGAGTAGCTAATTTTCTTTATCTAGGGAGTAGATGAAACTTATTGCTAAATAATATGAATTGAATGTGATTTACTGTGAGGAACTGTAAAAATTTCTTGTTTTATATCATTTAATTATATTTCTTTTCATGCATTTTCTTAATTTTATTTTACTATCTTAATTTTCTAGACATTTTATAAGTGAA